TGTATACTAGTGTGGATTTTGAAATATATTAAATTTTTTGTTATTTTTTGCTTGATCTATAGTTTACGTAAAAAAAAAATAGCATAAGTAATTGAAGTATGTAAAAAGAAATATTATTTTATATTTTATCAATATATGTATTATCTATTTTCAACAAACAATAATATAAAACGTTGAATGAAATAATTAACTTTAATAAATATATTTTTATTATATAACTAAATTGAAAAATAAAAAATAATGTTAATTGAAAACAAATTATTAAAGTTTCTAAAATCATAATGCACATAAAAAATATACCTCGACCAATAGACTGCATAATAACATTAGATAATAGGCACATTATTGCATCCAAGAATGCACATCATTGATTTCGATATATTATTATTATGACAGTTCGAATGAAAAATAACATAAATTATTAAATATAATATTAAAATCAAAGTATTTTTCTATAGTATAACAAAATAAATCATTCAGATTATTTACGTTAATTAAGACTACCCTCGAATAAACCTAATAATATGGTTTATTTTTTAGTTTGATTTGGAATAAATTATTAATAAATCATACATTGCGATTGCACAATGGTGTTAAATGAACTGCACAACAGTGTTAGATGAATTGCACATTAACGTCTATAAAAATGCACATTAGCAATAGCGACTGAAACCGATCAACTTTTTTCAATTTGAAACTTTATATTTCTGATAGATTCTCGTTTTTTTTAAATCTCGGTTATTTTGGTTCATCAATCTTTTTTTTTTTTAAAAAAAAAACAATTGTACACATTTAAATGTGTAACAACATATTATGTAGCTTTTTATTGTGCATGGTTCAGGTCAATATTGTGCATCTTATTCAACACTAATGTGTATTTATTAATCTTCCATTAAATTGCATAGTAGCCCCCCTTACTAAAGTGCAAATATAATAAAGTAAAAATATTGCATAGAAGTCCCCTAAACATGTCAAATTCTCAAAACATGGCCCAACCCTAAATGTGTTCAACCTATCCGACACTGTTCACCGCCGGCGAACACCGCCGTACGCCGCCGCCTACACGGGGGCTATCGACTCAATCAATACTGTCCCCAACACCGCGTCTCTGTCCGACCCAATTCCGACTATGCCCGGCTGCAATGGTATATTTGTGAAGCAGAGATCCGTCGACGGCTGCTCGCCGTCACCACTTCATCATCGTCGTCCGCGTCTTACTCACCCATCCTTGGGACCATGGGGCTCCACAATAACGGCGAAGAGAACCACCGATGGACGACGGCTTCAAACATCCTGTCCGCCGGAAATCGGAAATAGAAAACGGCGACGCCGTGATGGTGGTGGACTTATCTGCTCAAACGAAAGTTTCAGTCGCCTCAGGTTCATGATGATTCCGACGGAAACGGTCGATCAACGGCGGATTTGTTAGCCATAGTCGGCGGTGGGTGAACTGTGTGTGAGTATGAGTGTGTGGACCGTGTGTGTGTGCGTGAAGAAAGTGTGTGGACTGTGAGATAGAGAGAGAGAGGATATGTATGAGATGTGTGAGACGGGTGGGTGGGATTTAGGGTAGGGGAAGAGTTAGTGGAGGGGCCCACTTTTGCAAAATACATATGTGCCCTTACCTTTTTAGCTTGTCCATAAATCTCACCGATATTTACTAAAATGCCACAGTCAATTAACTAATATTTGGAGTTTATCCTGGCCGTTGCAGCGGCAGATCAAATGGTCCCAATTAATTCTTATTTCTTTCGTTATGTTCTTTTCTTATTTGAGCGCACTTCTATATATATATATATATATATATATATATATATAGGGGATGGATCCAATGAGACCACTTCTTAAAATGAGTACGTGAGACTCAATCTTAGCCACTCATTTTGTCTAGATCAAAATCAATTAAAATATACATTAATTAAATAATAAAATAATTATTAGTTGACTCCGGCATTGACCGTTGACTCTGGCGTTAACCGTTGACTTCCGGCGTTGACCGTTGACTTCCGGCGTTGACCCGTTGTATTGAAATAAATAACCTAGGGACAAAAGATACTCAACCTTGAGTGGTGTAGTGGTTGCATTGCTTGTCTTACCTCCATGAGGTACCAGGTTCAAATCCTATGGGCTACAATTTTTTTATAAAAAAAGAATACAACTAACTTAGCAGTATCAGACAACTAACCTACCAACAAAACACAACTAACTTAGCAGCATCAGACAACTAACCTAGCAGCAGAAAGGAAAGAAATAACCTGTCAACAAAAGACAACTAAACTAGTAGCGAGAAAGAAATAATCTAGCAACAAAAGACTAACCTTAGCAGCATCAGACAACTAACCTAGCAACAAAACATAACTAACCTAGCAGCAAGAAAGAAAAGAAATAACCTAGCAACAAAAGACAACTAAACTAGCGAGAAAGAAATAATCTAGCAACAAAACATAACTAACCTAGCAGCAAGAAAGAAAAGAAATAACCTAGCAACAAAAGACAACTAAACTAGCAGCGAGAAAGAAATAATCTAGCAACAAAAGACAACTAACCTAGCAACAAAAGACTAACCTTAGCAGCATCAGAAAACTAACTTAGCAACAAAACATAACTAACCTAGCAGCAAGAAAGATCACGCACATTTTCCGTGAGGGGAACAGACCTGCTGACTGCCTGGCCAGCCTTGGCGCCACCATACCAGACACACATACATTTTAGACCGACGCTGCTCCACTCCGCCTTCGCACTCTTGTACGGATGGATCAGCTTGGATATCCAACGTTCCGCTTTCACTAGTTTAGGATCTCTATTGTCATTAGTATAGACATTTTTTCGGGCATCTGTTAGCCCAAAGATCGACTTTGTTTTGTAGTTTCTGTTCCTTTTTCATTTTTTGGCTTTTCTGTTTTGTTTTTCTTTTGGTTTTGTCTTTGATTGTGAGACTCTATAGACTTTTGTATCTTGTTCGTTGATATTTTGGGCTCCCGATTTTGGGGCCCTGATCTATGCACAGGTTGGGGATCCAGCCCAATCCCCCGCCCTTCCGGGGCGTTGTTTGTTTAAAAAAAAAAAAAAACCTAGCAGCAAGAAAGAAAAGAAATAACCTAGCAACAAAAGACAACTAAACTAGCGGCGAGAAAGAAATAATCTAGCAACAAAAGACAACTAACCTAGCAGCAAGAAAGAACTAACCTAGCAACAAAAGACAACTAACCTAGCAGCGAGAAAGAAATAATCTAGCAACAAAAGACAACTAAACTAGCAGCAAGAAAGAACTAACTTAGCAACACAAGACAACTAACCTAGCAGCAAGAAAGAACTAACCTAGCAACAAAAGACAACTAACCTAGCAGCGAGAAAGAAATAATCTAGCAACAAAAGACAACTAACCTAGCAGCAAGAATTCCTAAGATTAATCTATGGAGACGAGAATCAAAATCAGATCGAAAAGTTACTGGGATTCACCCAATCCAAGCTACGGTATGTTATTCGAATTTTTTGAAAACCCTAGTCTATTTTTCTTGTCCGATTTTAGGGTTGTTTATTTCCAAATTAGTTGATCCCATGTGCTATTATGTCTCTTTTTCTATTTTGAAAATGATTCCCCACCTCTGTTTGTTAAAATTTTAGGGTTCTAATTTTTGTTTTCTTCCTATATGCATAGATCGAAGTAGTGACCTATTCACTGTCATTTTTTGGTGTGGTGGTAAATTCCAGAAGTCCGACTTTGGAGTATATGAAGGTGGCCATAAAATGGTGTTTGATTTTGTACCTGCTAATGAAATGTCTGAAAAGAAACTAAAAATGTTTTCCACAAAATTTGGTGTGGTTGGTGATAGGAGCTATTTCATACAGGTGGGTTTGAGTCTGAGGAGGATAGAAGGGGATGATGATGTTAGGATTTGGGAAAAGTCCCACTTATCTGAAAGGGAGTTTAATGTATTTGTGGAAGTTTTCAACACTTTTGAACCTTCTAGTTTGTCTGTTGAAGGTAGTTGGGTGGATCTAGATGAGAGTGACAGTGATAATGAGAGTGGGAGTAAGAGTGGGTCTGAGAGTGGGGGTGATAGTGGGTCTGAGAGTGAGAGTGAGGATAATGTTGTTGGTGTAGAGGGTGTTACTCAAGAGGATAATATTGTTGGGGTTGGTAGTGGGATTAGGAGTCAGAATGATGTAAGTGAAACTAATCTTGATGGCGAGGATAATCTTGTTGGGGTTAACAGAGGAAAAGGTGTTCATTTGAGTGATGCTGAGAATTCTGAGGGTAATGAGGATAGTGGACATTCTACTGATTGGTATGATGAATTCTTTGATAGTGATTATGACATGAGGGATACTAGTAGTGATGATGATGATGCATTATTCTTTGAGCATGTAGGTACTGAACATACAGCGGTGCGTTCACACTATGAGCGGTACCGTAATTAATTAATTCAAGTGTCAACGCGCCGCTGTATGTTCAGTACATCGTCCTGCGGTACCGTAATTAATCAATTCAAGTGTGAACCAATTCAAGCAGGACGAGGTACTGAACATACAGCGACGCGTTCACACTAGGGACGGTACCGTAATAGTTCAGCGGCGCGTTCACACTAGGGAGGGTACCGTAATTTTCAATTCAAGCAGGACGAGGTACTGAACATACAGCGGCGCGTTCACACTAGGGACGATACCGTAATAGGTCAGCGGCGCGTTCACACTAGGGACGGTACCGTAATTTTCACACTAGGGACGATACCGTAATTTTCACACTAGGGACGGTACCGTAATAAGTGTGAACGCGCCGCTGTATGTTCAGTACCTCGTCCCGCCCCTAGTGTGAACGCGCCGCTGTATGTTCAGGACGAGCATACAGCGGTGCGTTCACACTAGGAGCGGTACCGTAATTAACCAATTCAAGTGTGAACGCGCCGCTGTCCTGAACATACAGCGGCGCATTCACACTGAACATACAGCGTTGTGTTCACACTAGGGACGATACCGTAGTTAATCAATTCAAGTGTGAACGCGACGCTGTATGTTCAATCTCGTCCTGCCCCTAGGTACCGTCCCTAGTGTGAACGCAACTCTGTATGTTCAGTACGAGGTGCGGTAGGGGCGGTACTGTAATTAATCAATTCAAGTGTGATCGAGCCGCTGTATGTTCAATACCTCGTCCTGCTTGGCGGCGCGTTCACACTTGAATTGGATTGATTAATTACGGTACCGCCCTCGTAATTAATCAATTCAAGTGTGAACGCGACGCGGTACTTAATTACGGTACCGCCCCTAGTGTGAACGTGCCGCTGTATGTTCAGTACCTCGTCCGGTACCGTAATTAATCAATTCAAGTGTGAACGCGTCAATTCAAGCAGGACGAGGTACTGAACATACAGCGGCGCGTTCACACTAGAGGCGGTACCGTACAGGACGAGGTACTGAACATACAGCGGCGCGTTCACACTAGGGGCGGTACCGTAATTAATCAATTCAAGTTTGCAGAGGTTGATTTTATATGCGGTCACACTTGAATTGATTAATTATGAATTGATTAATTACGGTACCGCCCTTAGTGTGAACGCACCGATGTATGAACAATTCAAGCAGGACGGGGTACTGAACATACAACGGCGCGTTCATATTAGGGGCGATATCGTAATTAATCAATTCAAGTGTGAACGCGCCGCTGTATAGTGAATATGAATTAGTTGATAGTGAAACTAAAACTCATGGGGATGAGTAACGAATAAAGATAATCATAAACCGATATCTGATCGGTAACCAAAAATCTGTTCTGGTACTGAAACTTACACTTTTCTCTTCTCTTCCGATATCTGATCGGATACGTGTTCACACTCTGATGGATATTTCTCAAGGCAACTCAAGCGGCCTCCATCAGAACTTAGGATATACTTTGAGACAACTGAATGCCTCCTCATCCCAAGCGTAAAACTTAAACATTAGGATATACTCTGAGACAACTGATGGTCTCCTCATCCCATATGACATCAATATCGTACTCAATGTGATACCCATTCAGGGTCCCCACCTTTTTGTCTTTGAAATCATTTGAAAAACGATAAGTGTTGTACCGTTACTGTATCTGCAAGTTACATCAAATATAACAAATATACTAAGTACTATGCTCGTATACTCAATAAGATTTTTAAGATTATTAACTTATCCAAATCTTAATGAAATTCATTAAACTTGCTTTTTCTCAAGTTTATACTTAACTTCTCTTTTTACTTTTACTTAAGATCAATTACTTAACCTTATATAAATCATGTCTTCATAAACATCAATATGGTATTATACTTAGCATGTCATAACTCATATGTGAAAATAACACATTATACTTGATTGAGTATTTAAACTTAAAACATGCTTACTTTTACCAACATCATCAACATGATTTATAACTTATCTTAATTTAACTTGATCAAATACTTAATTCATCATACATCATATCTCCCAATTTTTAGATATTGGCTTATACTAAATTTTCACTTAATTAACTTGAAAGTGAAAATAATCTCAAGCCATAATCATCTTTTACTCATAACATTTAATCATGATGTTAATATGTCATACTTAATACAATCTTTATAAAATTGTATACTCAACATATTATACCAAAACTTCATCAAATTACTCATCACTTATATGAGAATTATTCATGATCATCTCATTTTAACAACTTAAACATTTCATGAATATTCTTGCATATATACTTATCTTTACATATATGCCTTCTTATATTCATAACTCATTCATTTCTCATCTTCAAATCATAAAATTTAACAGTCATAATCTCAACTCATAATTAGACATGTCATAAAAATTTCATAATTTTAGCATGCATGTACATCAAGTTATTGGAATTTAAAGTCAATAGTGAACATAAACTTCATCTTGCATGTTCATCTTCAAAAATTCATAACTCAAGCTATACGTTGCCAAATCACTTAATTCTTGTTCTCATGTACTCCTCTTTTACATAAGAATCATTAATTTAAATCATACTCTTCCAGCTTATTCATATCTTTATCAACATCTCATCAAATCAAGCACATATATCATATAATTGATCTCGAACAACTTTAACTCTTTATATTCATAGAATCAATTATAAACTCAACTTCTACATCATGATATGCATACTTATACTCCTGTCTTCAATCCTGAACTTATATTTGATCCTGTGTTTGAGTTGGGAATGGTTTTTGCAACTAAACAGGAGTTTAGAAAGGCCATTCAATTACTTTCAATTAAAACAAAAAGGACCCTAAAGACAATTAAAAATGATAAGATTAGGGTCTATGTTAGATGTGATGATGGAGGCTGTAAGTGGAGATGTAATCTTTTACAAATGAAGGGACAATCTAGTTACCAAATTAGAGAGTATAATCCCAATCATACATGTCATGGGAGCTTCAATGTGAAGAACATTAAGTCTAAGTGGCTGAGTGAGAGGTACATTAGCAATTTTCAAACTGACCCAAAGAGAAGTGTGAAGGGCTGGAGGCTTGATGTAATTCATGAACTGAATGTGAATGTCTCCAAAGATCAGGCTTATAGAGCCAAGAGAAGGGCCATGAATGTTCTTCAGGGACATCTTGATGTTCAATACTCACAGCTATGGGATTATGCAGAGGAGCTAAAATCTTCCAATCCTGGTTCAACAGTGTTATTAGCAACTGAAAAAGTGAGTGGTGATGAGAGATTTAGTAAGTTTTATGTTTGTTTTAGTGCTTTGAAAGAGGGTTATAAAGCTGGTTGTAGGCCACTGATAGGTGTAGATGGGTGTCATTTGAAGGGGCCACATGGTGGGATTTTGTTAACTGCAGTTGCAGTAGACCCTAACAACAATTTATTCCCTATTGCATTTGCTGTGGTTGGAGTGAAATGCAGAGAGAGTTGGGAGTGGTTTTTAACCATTTTGAAGAAGGATTTGGATATCTCTAAGCCAGAAATGCAGACATTCATATCTGATAAACAAAAAAGGCTTATACAGGCCTTTGACATTGTCTTTCCTGGGGCAGCACATAGATTCTGTGTTAGGCATTTGCACAATAATTTCCTTAATGCTGGGTTCAGAGGATTGGCTTATAAGACTGCTGAGTGGAAGGCAGCCAGGCCACAACTGTGGGAGATTTTACTGCAAGAATGTTAGAAATTAAAGGCATGAGTGTTGAGGCATTCAATTGGTTTATGAATAAACCACCACAACAATGGTGTAGGGCATTCTTTTCTGATTTGCCAAAGTGTGATTTGTTGCTTAACAATATATGTGAGACCTTCAACAGCAACATCATTGAGGCCAGAGAGAAGCCAATAATCACCATGTGTGAGTAGATCAGGGAATACTTATGCACCAAACTTCAAAAGAAAAGGGATAAGGCTGACTTAAGATGGAGTGGAAGAATTTGTCCTACTATCAACTTGATCCTACAGAAGCATCTATCCCATGCCTCAGACTGTATGCCTATTAAGTGTGATGACACTCATTTTGAAATCAAGTGCTATGATGGGTCTCAGTTCAATGTTGACTTGGAGAAAAGAAGCTGCACTTGCAGGGTTTGGGACTTATCAGGAATCCCATGTAAGCATGCTGGTAGTGCTATTTTAGCACAAAAATGGGATCCAGTTGACTTTGTCTCTGATTGGTACTCTGCACAATTGTACAAGAAGGTGTATGGTGGTGCAATTTTTGGAACAAATAGTGTATCTCAGTGGACTCAGACTCTTTTCATTCCACCTTTGCCTCCTAACTTTGGGAGGGGTGCTGGGAGGCCATCAAAAGCCAGAAAGAGGGGTCCTGAAGAGCCCAAGAAGAAGAAGTCAAAGAATTCAGTTAAGATGTTCAAGCAAGGCTGGAAAGTTACTTGCAAGAAATGCGGGCTGACTGGTCATAATACGAGGTCATGTGATAGAAGAAAAAAGCAAGGTGGCCAAGTTGACAGCATTGTAAGTCGATTTACATATTAGTGTGATTTATTGTTTTTTTAGCTTTTGTTACTATAGATCAATTTTATAACTCTGTTCATTTGTTTTTTTTATTTTTATTCTATGTGCAGCTTCAAAGAAAAAGAGCAAGATCTTCTAATAGACAGAATAATGCAAACACTAGCCAATCTAGTACTAGTGTAAGTAAATAATCATAGTAGTTAGTTTTATTCAATGTTTTTTTTTTTTTTGCATATTGTTTATATAATCCTTTTATGTCTTGGCTATAAGGTTGACAGACCAACTATGTTGCCACCAAACACAGAGGAAGGGTCTACATACTCCAATGAAGAATTGCAGTTCAGAGGACCAAATTGTCCTGAGTACCAAATTCCCATAGTACCATCTAAAGCAGGACCAAGCCCCTTTGAACAACTTCAACATGCATTAGGTTATAAGCATTCTGGTGGCAAAAGAAACTAGTTAGGGAAATTGATGGTACTTCTTGTGATTAACAGACATTGAACAACTGCTTTTGTTTTTGGGAAGACATGTATAAATGGTTGTTTTTTATTGTGGGAAAAACTGAACAACTGCTTTTGGGTTTTGCTTTTGTAAGGGGTCCAAGTTATTTTTGTACTTATCAAACAATGTGGTTGCAATGAATGAAGCTTATTGTTCTTCCAGTTACTTAAACTTTTGCTTTTCATATCAGAACATTCAAACTTCAACCACAACTACATGGAAGCATTACAAAGGATAAGTACTAATAAACAGAAGCATAAAGGACAAAGTTACAAAAAAGCCATAACATTCAAACTTGATAAACAGAAGCATTACAAATACAACAACATGGAATCAGTTCAATACATCAACCTTCATACATCCTAACCAGCCATAAGGATGAAGTTACAAAAACACAAACACAAATGCAGGGAAAATACATGTCACAACTTCACCAATACATCCATTCAACTAGTTTATGCAATCATGTTAGAGGAACCCTGACCACCAGAATTTTTATTCAGATACTGATAGAAAATGATAGCAGATGCAACAAAGAACAGCCACATTGTACTCTTTGACTCGGTCCTCATGGATATTTTCAGGCTTTTCATCTCAGCTGCTAAGTTCTTATTTTCTTCCTTCAGTTTATCATTTTCTTCTTGTATTTGTTGAAGTTTCTGGCGCAGCTCGTTCGATTTGCGCAATAGTCCAGGGATCACTTACTTCGACCGATTTTAACTGAATAACTTAATAACTGGGCTCGAAACTAGGAACAAGCATTATTAATAAAAGTAATTAGTTCAAACTTATAACTAAAATAATTACTTTTATTAATTACTGAATGGGATATTACAGATGCGCTCATGCACGTGCTAGGGCTTGGTAGGCGCGAGATACTCGATTATTAGGAATGAATAATATCGGACTTATAACTACCATACATGACACATAATACACATATATAAACACATAATTCATGTAATTATCTTAAATCAAACAACTCGGAAATCTGGAAAACTACCGGTTTCACTTTATAGTTGAGCGAGTGGAACCGTTCTGATATATTAGCTGATCGGGGCGTTAGCTAGGGATCGGGAATTAAGCTCGAGGCTCGTGACCGAACATACTCGATTCCGATCACGACTTGATTGAGACAATTCCTTGAAATATACTTGATTTCGATTATTCGTCAACTTGAATTTATTAATCCCCACTTATAAAGTCCATTTCTAAAATAAATGGACCGGAATTAATTTCTGAATTGGCTCGGTTGTTGAATAAAATTTGACCGAGAATTCCCTCGACATAATGTCGAACTTGAATGGAATAATCTCACATACTTGGAAATAAATGAGCACTTAAGCATATAAATTCCCATAAGTCAAATAATTCGGGAATCTGAAAATACCAATTTCACTCTATAGTCGAACGAGTGAAATCGTTCTAATATTGTAACTGCTCGGGGCGTTACAGGCACGAAGAGGAGATACGGCACTTGTTGGAGCAGTTCGACGAGGTGCTCGCCGAACCAAAGGGGTTGCCGCCAAGGAGGCCTTACGACCATCGTATTCCGTTGGTCGATGAGGGTCGAGCCGTACATGTCCACCCGTACCAATATGCACACTTTCAAAAACTTGAGATCGAGAAGAAGCTGCGCGAGATGCTCGAGACAGGGCTAATTCAACATAGCACGAGCCCGTTCTCTTCACGGTGTTGCTCACAAAAAAGAAAGACGGCACGTGGCGCTTTTGCATGAATTACCAAGCTCTGAACACCGCTACTATCAAAGACCGATTTCCCATACCTAGTATTAATGACATGTTGGATGAATTGGGAGGCTCGTGCTATTTTTCTATATTGGACTTGAGAGCCGAGTACCATAAAATCCAAGTGGCGGAGCCGAACATACCAAAGACGGCCTTTCGAACACACCAAGGGTACTACGAGTACTTGGTGATGCCCTTTGGACTTTGCCACGCGCCTTCCACCTTTCAATTTGCTATGAACTCAATTTTTCAAGAGTACTTGCACAAATTTGTGCTAGTATTCTTCGACGACATTTTAATCTATTCGAGGACATGGCCAGAGCACATCGAGCACCTACGAGTGGTCTTGGATATTTTATCCCAAAACTCGTTCAACATCAAACCCTCGAAGTGCTCCTTTGGGAAAGAAACGGTCGAGTACCTCGGCCACTTTATCTCGCACGAGGGCGTGAGAGTTGACCTGAGGAAAATCGAGGCCATGGCCGATTGGCCTAAGCCTACGAGCCTAACGCAACTGCGCGGGTTCCTAGGGTTGATCGGGTACTACCGGAAGTTCATAAAGGACTACGGGACCATCACCAACCCTTTTACCGAGATGACTAAGAAATGGGGGTTTAAGTGGACCAAGGCTAGTGAAACCACGTTCGGAACATTGAAGGGTGCCATGACCACCACACCAGTGCTTGCGATGCCGATGTAGGACGTCCTATTTGAGGTCCACACCGACGCGAGCGACATTGGGATCAGAGCTGTCCTAGTTCAAGAAGGGCGAGCACTCGCCTACCTTAGCAAGGCCCTTGGGACTATGAAGCTCGGGATGTCAGGCTATGTCAAGGAGATGCTCGCGTAGTCGTGGCGGTGCGATGTTGGAGGCCTTATCTACTAGGGGGAAGTTTCCGAATCGTGACCGACCAACAGCTCCTCAAGCACCTATTGGAGCAAAGGATTGTCACACCCGAACAGCAGAAATTCGTCTCGAAGCTTATGGGGTTTGACTTCAAGATCGTGTATCGCCCGGGGCGACAAAATGTCGTCGCCGATGCCTTATCGCGACGAACGGACGTGGCCAAGCTGCAGGCGATATCCGAGCCTACCTGGGCCCTATGGGATTATTTGAGACGCGCGCAAAAGGACGACGCCTTTTGCCAGGACATACGCGGCAAGATGGAAGCAAAAGACGCAGCCGCTGACGAGTACGACGACCATGGCGGGTTGCTCTTATACCTAGATCGCGTGTTAGTGCCAAGCGCCTGGCCTTTGAAGGAAGCGATAATCAAGCACTTCCACGACTCGAATTTTCGAGGGCATTCAAGCGTATACCTCACGTGGATGAGGCTAGAAATCACCTTCTACTGGCCCGGGCAACAACATGAAGTACGGGAATATGTGGCACGGTGCGACGAGTGCCAGCAAGTAAAAATGAACTCGCGCCGACTTGGGGGATTACTGCAGCCCCTACCCGTTCCCGAGCGGATTTGGGAAGACATCACCATGGACTTCATTGAGGGACTGCCCATGTTCAATGAGTTTAATGGAGTGATGGTCGTGGTGGACCGACTCACGAAGTACGCACACTTCATTCCCCTAACACACCCGTACATTGCGAAGTCGATTGCACGGCTATTTGTGGAGTATGTGATAAAGTTACACGAAGTCCCTCACTCGATTGTTTTCGATCGAGATCGCATTTTTATGAGTAGCTTCTGGTCAGAGTTCTTCAAAATGCAAGGCAGGGAACTGGCCATGAGCTCGGCCTACCACCCGCAAACCGACGGACAAACTGAGGTGACCAACTGAACGTTAGAGCAATACCTAAGGTGCTAACAACAAGGTCGAGCGGGAGCTCATAGAGCGCGACCTAATGCTGCATGAACTGAAGAAAAATCTCGAAGGGTCCATCAATGGAATGAAGACGTTCCACGATAAGAAGCGTCACGAGGAAATCTTTGAGCCGGGCGACTGGGTCTACCTAAAGCTTCGGCCCTTTAGGCAATGCACGGTCGCGCAACGAACCCTGTCCAAATTCGGGGTGCGATTCTACGGGCCTTACCAAGTGCTCCAAAGGATTGGCAAGGTTGCTGGAGGAATTGCAAATCCATCTGGTAATTCATGTGTCACAACTAAAGCGAAGCTTGGGCGACGCGCATAAGCTGAGCGATTGGTCGCCCGCAACCGCACCCGATGGGCAAATCGTCGCTAGACGAAGCCGTGCACTTAGTACCGAGAACTGAAGAAAGCCGGGCAATTCCGTTGGGAGGTACTAGTTGATTGGAAAGAAACGCCCGAGGAAGAGGTGACTTGGGAGGACTTGGACGCAATGCGCGAAAGGTTTTCGTCTCTCGTCCTTGAGGATAAGGAAGCACTTGAAAGGGATGGGAATGATGAGGATATGGCTAGACGCCTGAAGAACGCCGCGAGTCGGGCTTATCAGGCCCGTAAACGGCTGGCTCGACGGACCGTAGAGGTTAATGCGATAGGAGCGGGTGATGGCGCGCAAAACGACGCACGCAAGAGAAGCGCGTCCGAGGATACCGCAACCGAGCGCAATGAGTGCGAGCTTGTGGGTGGGTGTGACAATGCGCGCGAGTGTCACGCCGAACCGGACCGCTCGATAATGCCGCGTGGAGGGATTGCACGCGCGAGGAGCGAGACCTTAGTCCTCGAGGAGTACGGCAAGGCATGCGGTGAAGAGACCCAGGCGGCTAGGGTTCCTTTGCTTGGCGCACAAGACTAGATCCTTTAGGACTCTTTTCTTCATTTGTTTCCTTATTGCTTATGGTTTCTATATTGTTTAGGACTTTAATTATTTAGTGCTTTATTAAGAGATTTAGATTGATTAGGAGTAGATTTATTTGAAGCCTATATAAAGGCGCATGCTCTTGTTATTTTTCATCATCGAATTATTAACAAGAAAACCGAACTTCTTGTTCAAATTCTTGTGTTAGATTTCTCTTGATATTTAGCGCAAAATCCTTAGCAGAAGCCATAAGCCTGACCGACCGAGTGATATATTCCGACTCGATGCTGATGGTCAAACAATTTTCGGAGAGTACAAGGTGAAGGAGCTCCGTACCTAGGCCTCGTGAAGAAGAATTTGGCCAAGTTCCAAACCAAAATAGAGCACGTGCCCAGATCAGAAAACATGCAACCGACGCACTTGCCCGGCTCGCTTCAAGCGCAGACATGGAAAGCATCGAGTACGTCAAGGTC